ATATATATATATATATATATATATATATAGAAATTAAAACAAGAGGACAGGTGAACAAGCCATTTCTCAGTGTAAGCCGAATGACTTCCAACTATTTTCAATGTTTTTCCTTAATTGTTTGCCCCCCGGCCGACAGCTTTATTGTTCAATCCCTTAATGAGATGTGTGTCCAGCTAAAATGCTAAGTCAATGGGAAATAATACCATAAAAATTTCAATGGACAACTATAGTTTTGTTTGACTGAATGAATCTCATAATACTTGAACGTTTTACTCCATGATTCATGTACAGAGTAGAATTCCGATTAATTCTACTGTCTAAAACACCAAAAAAAAAAGATTCGATACTTTGACTATGTAGCACTCTTGATGGTGCATTGATGATAAAAAAATAATAATTACATATGAAATTGTGTTAAATGATTTGAATGTAATTGAAGTTGACTAGACATAAATAAAAAGTGTGTGTAAATAATTATATAAATTTTAAAAATAAATATTTTACATCTTAATTATTTTGAACTATTCAAAAATTAATATATTGTCATTTTTTTAATCATTTTGATCACGAGAAGTATAGTTTTATTTAACTCGGTAAATTCCTTATTTTATATATAGTCTTATGATTATTATTAAAATATAAGAATTGGGCAAGGATTTTTGAAGTGTTCATGTCTAAAACGTTAAGCTTCAACTTTAACTAATAAGAGAAGAAGAATTGTAAAGTGTACCAAACTAGAATTATTTCACATTTTTAAGTAACCATTTCTTGAGGATAATAAAACAATATAACAATGAAATAGAAATAATCATAATGTTAAATACTAATTATTATAAGCTTAATAGACATTTATTCCATGTGGGGTATAGTTGGAGAATAAAGAGAGATACATGGGAAAATAAGTGAAATGATGGGTTGATGGGGGGGTTGTGTTGAAGAATGATCTGGGGCAGTGGACCATGGCAACGTCGTTCAATTCAAAGGAGAACACATGCTCCCCTGCAACCCTAGCGGATGCCAACTAAATTTAACTATTTCTTCTAATAATTCCCATTGTCATACCCGTGCTTTATGGACTCGAAACCCATTGAAGAAAAGCGAGGGAGAGAATTAAACGACTAAAAGACAGGACCAAAGAGCATGCATGCCCCCCAACCCCAAGCTGCAGAATCAGAATGAGTAAATGAGAGAAAGGGGAATCAAAACCTGCCCATGCATAGCTAGCCTTGCATCAAATTGTTTACATTGTAAACACCCTGGATGTCTAAATCAATGTATAACACAAGAATAGCAACTCCCTTCCTCCATCAATCAATTCGGCTAAGCTTTCAATGGGTAGATCATGACATTATGATCAATCCATTTTCCCAAATGATTACACTACAATAATTTTTTCTTTACTTACAAACATTAATTTAAATACCCGTATTTCAATTATGTGGAAGCCAGTAAGCCATTTTTATGATTTTCCCTCTGACTTGAATGATTGGAAGTAGTACTAAACTTAGTCAGAAAATGGGAATAGCTAGCTAGACATGGAAAATATAGTGTCCAATTATGAAAAAAAAGTAAAGTAGCCTAGTAGCTAGAAGTTCTACCGGCATGTACTATTTAATTATATTTATTATTATGCGGATTGACAATATGGCATTCTTTAAACCATATTTGTTTGATGTTTATCACAATCACAAGGGGCTGACTATTTACTATATCGTATTATTGGCGTGGCATGGCCTGTTATTCTTAGAATGTAGTTCTTTCGGTATCATGTAAGGTGGGGTTGTCCTTGCTCATACCATTTAGCTTCAAACATTGAAACAAATTCGGATATGCATATTTCATTAATATCTACCTCTTGCTTCTTAGCTAATTAGATTTTTGGATTAATTATTAATTAGAAAGTCATTCAAAAGTGGCTTTCGCTTCGAGTTTTATTAATGATCTTTTGTTATTTTTTATATTTAAATGCCTTTATATTATGTATATAATCTTTTGAGAAGTCAGACCAATTTATTTATTGTAGATTTTTTCTCCTAAAAAAAGAATGCTACTTGTTTATATTGCAAGAATTTTAACTAAGAATGCTGGATCTTGCATTCAAGAAAGACGTTGCAAATTGAAATCTAGAGACACATGCGTGTATATCCCTTTAACCCTTTTGAAGACTTTAGCAACACAAATTTCCAAGGCTTTTTCCATCCTCTAGTAAAAGATGCTCCCCACTCTCCTATGTACAAAATAGATAATTCTTTCCTTTCTATCAACCCTCTTTTTATTGGGGGGTTTTCTCCCAAAAATTCTTTTGGGCCAAACACGAAGAAGCTTTACTTCGAAACACATATCACGTGTACATTACAAAATTCCGATCAACAGCCTTAAATCACTTTTTCGTAAGCTAATAAGATCCAAATCCAAATTAATTAACAAAAAAACTCTTTAATTTTGGATACCCCATGGTAGGATTGTGGTCCAATCTCCAAACACAGTCTTTGATAAGGGTTTTTTTTTTGTTTTTGTTTTTTGTTTTGTTTGGGATAGTGTTTGAGATTCGAGTTCTCGAGAGTGATTCCTCTTAAGCCAACCTCCATATTCTTTCCATGAAAAGCATCCATAAGATCAGTCATGGCTTCCCCCTGCAAATCCATGGTAAGCGCTGAACCACCAATATAAAATAAAATTGTTTTCTCTGGGATCTACATTGGCTCCACATGTCTCCCTCCAGCCATGCCACTAGTGAATTATATATTGCATATTTTCTTAGCACATTCATTTGCTTTGGAAACTAGCTAACATATCTCATCGCAGCTACAGCTAGTTGTTCTTTGCATCTGCCAGTCATTAGTTCCCAGATTTGACATATGATAAGAATATCCAGCTTTCATTGAGTACTTCAATTTGATATGCAAAATAAGCTTGAATTTAAATTTATTCGAACTCAAAAATCTAAAAATCACGTTAAAATGATTTCAAATTTAAGAAAAAAATTTAAAGTGATGTCCACATTTGAAAGATCTGAATCTAAGTTCACACAAATCCATGCTAGTATTAATACAAGCCTATCCGTACCAGAATTTATAACTTTAATCCCATAATTTCTAGGAGTAAGAAAAATGATTTATTTGCAAATTAATGCAAAAGAAATTCAATGTGGAATGTGTATGATAATGTTGTAAAACTTAACTGGCAAATTAATTTACATGTTTCTAGAACAACTTCATGATCGAGATCCTGTCCTTCTTACCCCATTTTGGCCAAGTTTGGGAACACAGGGGAGTTCAACATTCCTTGATTGTAGGCAAGGGGCCCAGGCCACGAGGCTGAAAGGAGATTGACAGTGATAGATGTGTACACTGCATTGGAAAATTCTTGGAATCATGGAAGCATGTATAACTTGAATTCGATCAAAGACCTCACTAAGTTCGATCAGAAAGTTAATGTTCCATCATTACAAGCTGTATTTTTCAGATGTCTTGGAATAGAATCATGCTTTTTTCTGGAGGGGAAGAAAGGATAGAAAATGGTCCTTAATCTACACTACATGTACGCACCTGGCAAACTGGATTAGAGAACGTACATAGCATCCGAGCCCACTTTCTTAACCTGCCCCTGCATGAACCCCACTGCAAAGTTGCAGTTAAGTAAAATTAGTTGGATAGGATTTTTAAGATTACCAAGAAGTAATTAAGGGAAGAAAATGGTTCAGTCATTTTCAGTAAATTGTGCGCTAACTGCCAACCGCCTTGTCGCTTGGTAGTAACCACTCACTTGTGGTAGGTACAAAGTCCTAAAGTTGGAAGTAAGTATAACCCCTTCTTCATCAGCTTGCTTGCGTATGGAGTAATTCTTTGTTTAATATGAGGGACGAGATTCCAATTTTACTGTTTGAGAAGACATGTATGTACCAATCATGGAAGACAAATGCTCGAGTGCCACATATGGAATATCAACAATGTGTATTCTGTTCTTAATTCCATTATCGTAAGACCTGGAATTGAGGTTCCTAATTCACATCCTGCTTTTGTGTCTAGCATTTCCTTCCTCAGTAACAAATTTGAGGAGGCTAATCAGCAGCTGACAGTCAAGTATCCCTGAAAACAGTACGAAATTTCTTAAGCAGAAGTTAGGTATACTGAGTTCGCAGTTGAATAATGAGAAAGCTGTTCTTTGTAGGACTCCTCGATCAAGCTGTACTGAACCGCAAATGGTTTCCTCTTTGCTGGGGTAAAAAGAAAGAAAAAACAATCAGAATGTTTAACAATTTCATTCACATCAAACTGATATTTGTAACATTAATATCCAATAAACACAAAGCTCTGTTCGCGTTCATAAAAGGCCCAAGCTTCCAAAGAACCAATGTCCTTTCATCTCTGCAAATTATATTGAATAATGTTCAGAGGGATTAAAAATTGTAATTGCTGCAAATGTAGTGGTTCAACAGTTATTATTTTGAAAACGCAGGTGTTAAAGAACCAAGGAGGGAAGCCAGTATTCAGGAACCACCATGAGGCCTGCGACTCATTCAAAATTCATAGTAAGGACCAAACGAACCAGAATCAGTTTCTTTTGCAGAAAGTCTATTCTTTGTTTTTAACGAGTGAGATAATTCACCTGCCTAAAGAAAGCAGGAATACCGGTTACAAGGAACAAAGTGCTGACACCATCTCCATTGAAATTTATTTGATGTATGTACATGTATTCCCTATTAACCTAGACTTTCCGTCGGGCCTCTGCCATGAATCTTTTTTGTTCCATGTTGCTGCAAGCCTACACTCGGTCCAAGGCAGGCAGGGAAGGCTCCTGTTTGGAATTAGATTGAAGTGGGCTCATAGTGGTCTCCAAGGCTCTTTTCGAAATGGAATTAGATTGAAATGGGCTTACATCAGCCCAAAAACTTAAATGAAAAGATTTGCTTCCCCATCTCAGCACTTTCACTATAGGATTAAAATACGTCTTTTAATATTAAATATTTATTTTATTAATTGATATATAATTTTTATTTTAAAAATAAAATTTAAAATTTTTAATTATAAAAATATGTATTTCATCTATGTCATATTTAATGTTTATTTTTTAACATATATAAATTTACATTTAATATTAATATTTTATATTTTTTATAAAAAATTAATATAATAATATAATTATATGATATTTTTATTTTTTATGTTAATATAAAATAAAATATAAATAATAAATAATATTTTAACGAATAATAATTAATTAATTATTAATTATTATTTAACTATCCAAATAAAAATAAAATGATCTAATTAAACAAAAGTAAAATTTTATAAAAAATTTTTAAATAATTCATAAACATTTTAAAGTATTGTATCTTATAAAAAAATCGGAGGATAGACATTATTTGCTACATCTCAAAAATTGGAGAAGGGAAATAACAGTAACACGCTGTCGATTAGGCTTAAGATTTGTTTATTTGGCTGCTTAAGAACATTGAAAACAATAATAACTTGTAAATACTGGTTCTAAACTTCGTATTACCGAATCAAGAAAGGACAACCCTAGACCTAAAGGACAGCAGGCCACCCTAAATAAATACTAAATTTCTCGACCTAGCACTTCCAGAGTCGCATTTCTCTCGTGACTTCAAGCTTCACTCTCCTCTTTTCACTCAGAAAGATGGAGCTTTCTACGAGCCTCACCCAACCCATTTCCACTCTCCCTGCCGTCAGATTCCTGACCCCAACTCCCTCTCTCCCTCTCTGCCGACCACCGCTTTCTCGCTCCAGCGCCCGTGGCCTCCGTTCCGGTAAGAAATCCAAAAACCCTAGGCTCTCTTTTTGTTCCTTATTTCATCTGCCTTTTTCATTCTTTTGTCTCATTTTTTGTTGTCTTTTAATATGTTGTTCTTGTAGTACTGTTTAGGAATTTTTTTTAATATATTAGAAACTGGAAAGTAGCACTTCGTAATTAAAAAAATACTACTATAGTAGTAATTATTATTATTATTATTATTATTGGCTTTGTAGGGGTTTTGTATTTTAACAGCCCGTTGCCTAAAGCAACAACATCCGGAGAAACCTCCTCGACCGGTCCGAATAGATTTTTCGGGGACGATCGCGACAGCGTGGTCACATTGGAAGAAGTTCCGGCGGTGGAGAAGAATATATACAATGAGAAGCTGCCACCGGAAGGACCTAAAGAAGAGTCGGGTGTCGATGAGGAATCGCAAATATTTCAGTTTTTGGAGAACCTTAAAGCAAAGGTTTTCCCTTTGCTTACTCACTTTACACTCTTTCAAAGTGCATCATAGTTTCTATTATGCTTGTGATATGAGAGGTTAATTTCTGAATATAAAGAGAAAAGAAAAAGAAGGTTGATTACTTGTGTTTTGCTGAGATGCACTGTTTAGAAACAGAAAATTCATTGCTTGTTTGATGTTACATATAATTAAATGGCATGCTATCAAACTGGAAGGAAACATTTATGAGTTTGTCAAACAGTTAATTGTTTAATCATTTGGAAGGTGCTTTTCTGGCATTAGAATGAATTGACAAAAGGAAACATCAAAGTTATTTTTTTAACCTCATTATTTATGTTACTAAGTGAGAAAAGAAATTTTTTTGGCCTTTTGATGTTCCTTTTTGTTGTCAAATTTGTTTGCACTGATGAGGTTTTGGAATCATTGAATGGCATTTGTTGAATGCTTGATGAGACTTCGACCATTGTGTTGATCCTGAGCTGTTACCTGAGCAACCTTGTGACTTAATTGTTTTATATATTTCCTACTTTTGTGCCCTTTATTATGTTTTGTGTTCTGATTGGATGTTTTGGTGATAAGCTATGTGTTTCCTTCCACTCAAAATTCTTGGCTGGTAGGAATTTGTTTTTACGTCAGCTGCCATTTCTTCTTACCCCCATGTTCCTTTTTGATAACAAGAGCCATTTTCCAATTTTGGTTGCAGTCAATTATTTTTGTTCCCCTCATTGTCTTTGAGGTTTTGTTTGTTATGTTTTTGCTCCAGTTCTTCAATTAAAATTATAACGGTTGCCATGATGAGTATCAGAATTAGTGAAAGTATATTGTAAATACTTGATGAAGAGTCGACAACTTTGTCGAACTGAGCGGTTACCTGAGCAACATGATAAGCTAATACCTGTTCTCACTTAATGTTCCCTCCAAGGATAAAATATTGTCAAGTTTTTGTAGCACGAAATGATTTTGCTACCTATGCCTTGTTTTTGATATTTCCATTCATTAAATTATTGCCAGTCTTCCCAAATGCAAATTTTTACTGTCATAACCATCAAAATTTGGTCAAAGGGTAATTCTTTGTTAGACAGTGACAACCATTTCATGTGAATTGTTGTCTGAGCAACATATTTTCCCTCGTCAGAACATACAAACTCTCTCTATCTCTCTTTCACTTGGTTACCATAACTTTTCTGTTTTTCTTTTACTTTGCACTGTTAATTGCTTGATTTTAGTTGATTTATTGTTCTGCTTCTCTTTTTCCTATATGTTCTTTACTGTTTTAGTCATAGGCCTTTGAAGCTATTTCATACTCACATCACATAGCTTGATTTTAAATTCTCACTTTTCCATTTGCACTTGCAAATTTTGCCCCAAATCCTTGATAGCTAAGGTTAGACCCACCCTTTTATTCTTTGCCTTGTTTTGGGTTTATTTACTGAAAGTGTTCAATTGTTTCTTCAATGAATATGCAAATTGGTTGCTGTGATGATTACTAGAATTTATGAAATTTTTTATGAAACATTGGCAACCATGTCAATCTGAGCGGTTACCTGAGCAACACAATTTGTTTAAATTCATAAACTTCCTCAGAGCAAGATTTCGGGGTTTTTTTTAATTCCCATTCATAAAAATTTCATTCTCTTTAGGGTGCAAATGTTTTTATGGATGATCACTAAATTTGATGAAAGTTAGGGCCATTTATGGCTGAGATCTCAACAACCAGGTTGAAGTTGGTTGTTATCTGGGCAGTATGATTTTTTAAAAAAGTTTGTTTATCTCTTTCGTCATGGTTTTGGCTGCCTCTTTTTGCATTAGAAGGTTTTCTTCCTTGTTTCTTTCCTGAGCAACTCAATCTATAGAGTTTGTTTGTTGCTTCTCTCTCTCTCTGACATTATTTCCTCAAAGCTGTTTCATTGCTGCTTGCCAGTTTAGATTTTTTATGATTTATTTCAAGTTCTTGATCCTAGGCTCAAGTACTTCCTCAACCTTTATTTTTTTATTAATTTTTTGCATCACTGACCCATTATTTTTTCTTTGTAATGTTCTCTTTGAAGAGTGTTTCTTCATCTGTTACTTTTGATTCTTTTTTATTCTTATGCCCTCCCTTTTTTTTCTGTATTCTTTCTCTTTGTTTTATTTTAATTTTGATCATTTCAATGTAATGAAAGAGAATAATATGGTTGATGTAAGAAGAGGATGATTTGAAACACAGTGTTGCTCTCAATACTATGTTTTTTTTTTATTTCAGAGTTTAGTTGATTTGCTTTATTTTTAGAAATTCTTTTGGTTTGCCATGGTTTGAGGTACTGATGACTTGATCATTAAATGCTTGCAGCTTGACTCTGAAGATGCAAATTCAATTATATTATATGGAAGTGGCACCTTGGTTGCTTTGTGGCTAGTTTCAGCTGTTGTCGGTGCTATTGACTCAATTCCACTGGTATGGTTAAAAATTTCTGTGATATCTGAGTTTCTGGATCATAAATAAGATATTTATATTCCTTTTGAATGATGATTTATATTGTAATGTTCAGTTCCCGAAGTTGATGGAAGTTGTGGGCCTTGGCTACTCACTCTGGTTTGGCTCACGGTATCTGTTATTCAAGGTAGCAATTTGAGTGATTGAGATTGTAAATAATCCCCAAATGACAAAGAGAAATTCTAAGCCTTTTTACTTGCATTTGGCAGAAAAACAGGGAGGAGTTGACTGCTAAAATTGAAGAGCTTAAGCAGCAGGTCCTTGGCTCAGATGATGATTGATGTAGGATCTGTTTTTGATTTACCCAGTGTTGTTTGTTACACAGAAAGATGAAATGCAGAGTTGAATATTTTCTCTAGTTGATATATAGACGCTTAGTGTACAAATATGTCAATAATTAGACTAAAGTCAAGGCATCAAGATAAAGATTTATTGGTTTGTGCTTCTATGCTTCCTGCAAGTGTCCATTTACTTCTTTCGTTGGCAATGGTTGTTCAACACTCAAAAATGCACGCGTATGTATACATGCAATGGTTGATCAACAACTGGTTGTCTGTTCCAATCATCTTGTATGATTTTGTTGATCATCAAATAAAAGCCAAGTTTGGTGCAGAAATCAGGGAACACTTTATGGCTATGCCTGTTAATGCGGAAAAGAGAGAGAGGGAGGGGTTGTCACTGCCCGATGACCAAGGCGGCTGGATTTGACGGTGCGTTTACACTGTGTATCCAAATGCAGTTTCAAATCACAGGAATGCAAGATTATAAAAAGGGGTTGGAAAGTGGGAACAGATCCAGTGCTACAGCCGACAATTATTAATAGCAGAAATTAATTGTATTTCAACAAATTCTCGACAGTTTGTTGTGATTTAAATGTGTTGAATAGAATCTAAATAAAAATCAGAGCAATTATTATATGGGTTGTCAATATCACAAATTAAAGATGCCAAATCTAACCAAATTTAATAACGTACTGCATTCGTATTTGTTAATATATATATATATATCTAAAGTGTTTTACAGGAGTGAAGCAATTAGTTAAAACGCCTCGTAATAGAAAATTGAGAGTCTAAGATGCCTCGCCATATCTCACGAAGGCACCCACATGCTGTGTCCATGGCAGATGTGTAAAGGCATTTTCACAAGTCATAAAGTCTTTCTTGATGACCAGTGTAAAACCAAACCTTTTGTTTTGTCTATTTGTGAAAACCAAAGTTAAACTCATTAATGGGAATCCCGATGCACCAAGACCCAAGCCCTCTTTTTTGATCCAGCCTCTTAACCCTACCCAAAGCATATCTTGCGGATACTATCATATTGCACAAAACCGAAAAAAGAAGAAGGAAGATTATAGTTCTAACTTAGAATATACAGCTACTCTAGTTTTATTTTATTATATTTTAAAGCTAATTAGCTAAACTTTGTAAGTTATAATAATAACGTAGAAAAGCTGTGCCTTTTCTTTTTCTTATTTTCTTACCTTTCTCTTTTTTTTTTTTTGTGTTTCTTAACGAGTAAGTCTTATTTAGTGCGGAAAACCAGTGATGAGTGGGCATTACAGCACACTCCCAGTGAGGACTGAAGGCAAAACTCTAAATCTTGGGGGTCTACTTGGGACCCACTAATTTTCGTAAAGCAACCCATGGTGCCGCGAATCGTGTGTGCAACCAACCCAAACTAAACGAAGCTCCATCCAAAAAAATTTCTAAAAAAATTAAATAATTCGACCGTTCCACTATTCAAACAAACATCTTTCTCTGCTTTATAGAAATTTATTATAATTATTCTTTTCTTCCAATAATTCGACCGTTCTTCCGCTTGCCACGTCAATTTCACGTTAATTTTACGCCTCTCCGTTGGTTTTATGTTGTCGTCCTAGGTTCTGCAAAACTCCTGAACTTTGTCTTCAAACATTGATTCTTCGTTCTTCTTACTAAAAAAAAATTTTTTTTTTTATTGGAAGAAAAGAATAATTATAATAAAT